CACCCTTCAAGTTGATTCCACTTGCCTCAGCTTCCCAAAAGTTGCTGGGATACAGCGTGGGCCACCATACCCTGGCTCCAGTCAAACTTCTCTATATCAATATAACCCAAAATGATCTTTTTTCTTTTTTTTAAGAATTGGAGTCTCGCTCTGTTTGCCCAGGGTGGAGTGTGGTGCAGTGATCTCGCTCACTGCAAGCTATCTGCCTTCTCGTGGTTCACACCATTCTCCGTGCCTTAGCCGTCGCCGAGAATCTGGGACTACGAGGCGCCTGGCCACGACAACCCGGCTATTTTTTTTTGTATTGTCTTTAGTAGGATGCGGGTTTCACGTGTTAGGCAGGATGATCCTCGGATCTCCTGATCTCGTGATCCACCTGCGCCTCCAACGGAGTGCTGGGATGATAGGTGAGGCCACCGGTGCCCGGCCTCCAGAAATAATCTTTTAATAGGGTGCAATTTAAAAAAGAAAACAGCAGGTCAGCGACCGGGGCTTATGCCGTCGTAATTCCCAGCCCTGGGAGGCCGAGGCAGGTGGATCACCTGAGGTCAAGAGTTCAAGACCCAGCATGGCCAACATGTGAAACGCCTGTCTCGACATAAGAAGTACAAAAAATTAGCCAGGCGGTGGGGGACTAGCTGGGACTACAGGTGCCCACCACAGCGCCTGGTTAATTTTTTGTATGTTTAGTAGAGATGGGGTTTCACCGTGGTCTCGATCTCCTGACCTTGTGATCCGCCCGCCTCGGCCTCCCAAAGTGCTGGGATTACAGGCGTGAGCCACCGCGCCCAGCAAGATTCCATCTTTTTTATTTGTTTGTTTGAGACAGTGTCTTGTTCTGTGGCCCAGGCTGGAGTGCAATGGCATGATCTCGGCTCACTGCATCTTCCGCCTCCCGGGTTCAAGGATTCTCCTGTCTCAGCCTTCTGAGTAGCTGGGATTACAGGCGCCTGCCACCACGCCCGGCTAATTTTTGTATTTTTAGTAGAGATGGGATTTCACCATGTTAGTCAGGCTGGTCTCGAACTCCTGACCTTGTGATCGCCCGCCTCAGTCTCCCAAAGTGCTGGGATTACAGGCGTGAGCCATCGTACCCAGCCTTGATTCCATCTTACAAAAAAAAAAAAGAAAGAAAAGAAAAAGACACATATATAAGTAGCAGTCTATATGTGATTTGTGTGTGTTTTGTTTGCTACTGTGGGTCCTAGACTGGGGGAGAAAGCAGGTTACTATAAACGGCATTTTGGAGACAGTTGGAGAAATTGGGAAAGGTGCCCTTTATTTTTTATCATCCTTGAGTCAGTGTTAAATGTCCTAGATTGTATCATACTTTGCTCAGTGAAGGGAATTCCTTATTCTTAGGCACTACATGCTGAAGTGTGCAGGGGTATGGGATCTGCTAGAAACTCTCAAATTACTCGGGAAAAGAAATAATAATATGGTGTGCACGCCACACATGTGGGAGGGCAGAGAGAGGCGGCGAGGAAGCACACACATAACACACTGACCACTGGGGAGCCTGGGGAAGGGCATACAGGAGTTCTAGGCATTTGAGATTACGTCAAAGCATTTAGGTTGGTGCAAAAGTAATTGCAGTTTTTGTCATTTCAATGGCAGATGACCTGGGCGCATGGTTGGTAGGTGAGGGCATCGGAGACAGAGGTTTATGGGAAATAAAGAGATGTGCTAAGGCCGGGCGTGGGGGCTCTAATCCCAGTACTTTGGGAGGCTGAGGTGGGCGGATTACCTGAGGTCAAGAGTTCAAGACCAGCCTGGCCAACATGGCGAAACCCCATCTCTACTCAAAACACAAAAATTAGCTGGGTGTAGTCGTGGGCGCCTGTAATCCCAGCTACCCGGGAGGCTGAGGGGAGAATCGCTTGAACCTGGGAGTGGAGTTTGCAGTGAGCCGAGATCATGTCATTGCACTCCAGCCTAGGTGGCAAGAGCACAATTCCATCTCAAAAAAAAAAAGAGAGAGATGTGCTAAGGACCTAGTGTGATGGGAGAGAGGGTCAGGGAGTCGAATGGCCTGCCACTGCAATAGTTAACAGTTGAGCATCTGGAATGTGCTCCCACCCCGCTGCCTGCAGGGTGCAGAGCTGTGTTAGGACAGCCACTCCAGAGTAGGAAAAGGCTCATGGTCATGGTGGGTGCATGGGATGCCATGGAGAAGACAGGGTAAGAGATGTTTCTGGTCAGAACCTCCACCAAGCTCCAACTTGCCCAACAGGATGGATGGCAAGCGGCGGCCAGGCCCAGGGCCCGGGGTGCCCCCAAAGCGGGCCCGTGGGAGCCTCTGGGACGATGATGATGCACTTCCGCCATCCCAATTCGAGGAGGACCTGGCACTGATGGAGGAGATGGAGGCAGAGCACAGGCTGCAGGAGCAGGAGGAGGAGGAACTGCAGTCAGTCCTAGAGGGGGTTGCAGACGGTAAGTCTTGGAGCTGGAAGCCCCTGCTGCCCAACCCATTGCTCCTGGTCTTGCCTTTGGTCCAGGAGTCAGCTGCAAAGCTGACCTGTGACCCCACTCTTGCCAACTTTGAATCCTACAAAGGACTGCCCTTTCCCCCCATGCCGCCTGTGTGGCCTGCTGTGATTCTGGACCTGACCCTTGACCCCCATTCTCTTCCAAGTTTCCTGTCATTGCACTCCAATGCAGACCGCCACCTCTGCCTGGCTCCTTTCAGAATCACATGCCATCCTGGCCGGGGAAGACCATGACTCCGTGTACCCCACTTCCTTCCCTTCCCCCACCAGGGCAGGTCCCACCATCAGCCATAGATCCTCGCTGGCATCGGCCCACACCACCCCCCCTGGACCCCCAGACAGAGCCCCTCATCTTCCAACAGCTGGAGATTGACCATTATGTGGGTGAGTTTGGGCGTTATGGGTGAGTGCTGGGACCATGCGCTCCTGGGGCAGAGGCCGGGCCAGGTCAGCCCTTCTAGCCATAGAGCTGTAGTGACAGAGCAGACCAGTGGGTGCCAGGGCCTGTGGAGCGCGAAGCAAAGGTGACACAGGGTCAACTTGAGGGAGGTGCTTGGAGCGTTGAGCTGTTTTGCATATGTGGTGGCTGCAGCCTGTGCAAGGACCTTTGTGCCTTAAAATTCATAACACTAGACACATACACCAAAAGTCAATTTGACTTTTTTTTTTTTTTTTTGAGACTGGGTCTCGCTCTGTCGCCCAGGCTGGTCTCAAAGTCCTGGGCTCTAGCGATCCTCCCGCCTCGGTCTCACAAAGCACTGGAATCACAGGTGTGAGTCACTGTGCATGGCCAGTTGTTTTTATCTTGTAATAAAAAAAGGGGGGGCCTCCCTGTAGTTGTGCTGTGGAGAATGGATCCTGGGGGATGAGGGTGGAGATGGGAAACAGGGCGGAGGCTGAGATGGACACAGGGAATGGTACGGGGCAGGGGTGCCCCAGGCTGCAGGCCCCAAGGTATTTCGAGTCTGTGGAGGCACACCTCGGGGGACCCTGAGACGCATGGCCGCTGGCTTACCTGTGGCCCCACAGGCCCAGCGCAGCCTGTGCCTGGCGGGCCTCCACTGTCCCGCGGCTCTGTGCCTGTGCTCCGCGCCTTCGGAGTCACCGATGAGGGGGTCTCTGTCTGCTGCCACATCCACGGCTTCGCTCCCTACTTCTACACCCCAGCGCCCCCAGGTGAGTGGCCCCCACCCAGCCCCTTCCTGAGCCACTGGAGCCCCCTGCACCTCTGACCACCCCTCCCATACCAGGTTTCGAGCCCGAGCACCTGGGTGATCTCCAACGGGAGCTGAACTTGGCCATCAGTCGGGACAATCGCGGGGGGAAGGAGCTGACCGGGCCGGCCGTGCTGGCTGTGGAGCTGTGCTCCCGAGAGAGTGAGTGCTCCCCCGGGATCAGCGGGTTGGGGGGTCCCCTGGGGAGGCCGTTGGCCGGTCCCAGCTTCTTCCATCTGCAGGCATGTTTGGGTACCACGGGCACGGCCCCTCCCCATTCCTGCGCATCACCCTGGCACTGCCGCGCCTCGTGGCCCCGGCCCGCCGTCTCCTGGAACAGGGCATCCGTGTGGCAGGCCTGGGCACGCCCAGCTTCGCGCCTTACGAGGCCAATGTCGACTTTGAGATCCGGTACGGCCTCTGCCTCACTTCTCCAGCCTCTATCCCCACCCTCGGGCAGCCCCTGTCCACTGACCCCCAGCCTCCTCCAGGTTCATGGTGGACACGGACATCGTCGGCTGCAACTGGCTGGAGCTCCCAGCCGGGAAATACACCCTGAGGCTGAAGAAGAAGGTGCAGGGCTTCCCAGGGCAGGGCCTGCTGCCACCGCTGACCCACCCATGCCCACAGACTACGCAGTGCCAGCTGGAGGCAGACGTGCTGTGGTCTGACGTGGTCAGTCACCCACCGGAAGGGCCGTGGCAGCGCATTGCACCCCTGCGTGTGCTCAGCTTTGATATCGAGTGCGCTGGCCGCAAAGGTCTGTCCCCGGGCCCAGTCTCCTGCCCGTCTCATTGTTGGTACCAGGCGAGGGGTTGGGAGGGCAGGCCCTGGGAATGGCAAGTGCGAAGGTGCTGGGGCGGGAGCACCCCAGCCCATGTGGCCAGATGGAGTGAGCAGAGAGGGTGTGGAGACGGCCTGGAGGTGAGGGCGGAGCAGGAGCCAGGGTGAGCCACACAGGGCCGCAGGGCAGCAGGACCAGGGCCGGCAGGCAGTGGGGACAGCCCTAGGGAGATGGGAAGTGCAGCCTCCCTGCTATGTCAGGAGTGAGGGGCAGGAGTCAGGCCCCTGCATCCTCCTCCCTCACAGGCATCTTCCCTGAGCCTGAGCGGGACCCTGTCATCCAGATCTGCTCGCTGGGCCTGCGCTGGGGGGAGCAGGAGCCCTTCCTACGCCTGGCGCTCACCCTGCGGCCCTGTGCCCCTATCCTGGGCGCCAAGGTGCAGAGCTATGAGAAGGAGGAGGACCTGCTGCAGGTAGCTCTCGTTCCGCGCCCCACACCATTTCCTGGGGCCCCCACCAGCCTCCATGTCCTGAGCCATCAGTCCCGGGTGCTGCGACACCCGTGTCTTTGGGTCTGGGTGGGCCCCTGTGCACTGAGACTTGAGCGCTTCCCCTCGGTTCTGCAGGATTTTCAGGGGTGGCTGGGGTTCTAGAACATTCTGGAAGTAGGGGACTCCGTGGCAGGGCAACCTACCAGGGTGACCCCGTGTGCTCCCACCCCCAGGCCTGGTCCACCTTCATCCGCGTCATGGACCCCGACGTGATCACCGGTTACAACATCCAGAACTTCGACCTTCCGTACCTCATCTCTCGGGCCCAGACCCTCAAGGTGAGGGCTGGGCAGGTGGGGGGCTTCTCTCAGATGCCCCAGGTGTGGCCTCTGGGCCCTGGGCCTCCTTCCCGCTCCCTCTCCTGGCCCTGCCCTGCTCGAAGTTGGAAAAGTTACTGTGGCTTTTGTCAGAGACAAGGAGGGAGTTACAGTGAAGTAGGGAAGGCTGTGCATTGACATGTCGGACTGAAGCTTGCAGGAGTTCAACAAGCCATTGAAGCAGCCACTGAATCCCAGTCTTCCTTTAGGTTGTATCAGTATAAGGAAAAGAATCATAATGAAGGAGGAGGAGAGGGGGAGTGTGTTGACGGACGGGGCAAATTCCAGATACTTGTTGAGTCTGGGTGTGTGTAAGGGTGGATTCCTCTGCCCGAGTTGCTGTAACAAAGAGCCACAGACCAGGTGGCTGAAAACAGCGAAAGGTCATTGTCTCACTGTCCTGAAAGCTGGAAAGTCCACGACCACAGTGTCAGCGGGCCTGCTTCCTTCTGGGGCTGCGAGGGAGAACGGGTTCCCAGACACTCTCCTTGGCTTGCAGACGGACATTGGCCCCCTGTGCCTCTTTACACCGTCTTCTCATCTTCTCTCTGTGCGCATCTGTTTCCACATGTCCCCTTTTTTTTTTTTTTTTTTTTTGAGACGGAGTCTCACTCTGTCACCCAGGCTGGAGTGCAGTGGCGTGATCTCGGCTCACTGCAAGCTCCGCCTCCCAGGGTTCACGCCATTCTCCTGCCTCAGCCTCCCGAGTAGCTGGGACTACAGGTGTCCACCACCATGCCCGGCTAATTTTTTATATTTTTAGTTGAGATGGGGTTTCACCATGTTAGCCAGGATGGTCTTGATCTCCTGACCTTGTGATCTGCCTGCCTCAGTCTCCCAAAGTGCTGGGATTACAGGCATGAGCCACTGCTCCCAGCCCTTTTTTTTTTTTTTTTGGGGTAGAGTCTTGCTGTGTCACCCAGGCTGGAGTGCGATGGAGCGTTTGAGGCTCACTGCAACTCCGCCTCCCAGGTTCAAGTGATTCTGCGTCGGCCTCCCAGGTTGCTGGGATTACAGGCTCATGCCACCACACTCCACTAATTTTTGCTTTTTTGTTGTTGTTGTTTCTTGAGACAGAACTTCACTCTTGTTGCCCAGGCTGGAGTGCAATGGCACAATCTCGGCTCACCACAACCTCCACCTCCCAGGTTCAAGCAATTCTCCTGCCTCAGCCTCCCAGATACCTGGGATTATAGGCACCCACCTCCATGCCCGGCTAATTTAATATTTTTAGTAGAGACAGGGTTTCTCCATGTTGACCAGGCTGATCTCGAACTCCCGATCTGAGGTGATCTGCCCACTTCGGCCTCCCAAAGTGCTGTGATTACCAGTGCACCTGGCCCACATGTCCTCTTTGTATAGTGACACTGTCATGGATGAGTGCCCACCCCAGTGACCTCATCTTCGCTTGACCCCCTGCAAAGACGTATTTCCAAATGAGGTTACATTCTGAGGTGCTGGGGGTTAGGACTTCAACATCTTTTGGGAGAACATGGTTCAGCCCTTAACAGGGTATATTTCCTTATTTTCCTGCTTTTCTCTATGTCTGGCCAGCTTGGTAATGGAAAAACAAAACAGGCTGGGTGTGGTGGCTCATGCCTGTAATCCCAGCACTTTGGGAGGATGAGGCGAGAGGATCGATTGAGCCCAGGAGTTCAAGACCAGCCAGGGTAACATAACAAGACTCTGTTTCTATTAAAGAGGAAAAAAGAAAAAATCCGTTCTAAAAGACAGAACAAACTGTTAGGACCCCCAGTGGCTCCAGCTGTACATTCCACAGCATGGCACTGATGCCCGGGCCACTGCCTCCTCCTCCCCTTCCCTGGGCGCCCCTCACCCTCTGCCCTGGCCCCAGCTCAGGCTTCTTCTGGCCTCAGTCTCCCCCAGGCTGGGCCCCAGCACCCTGCAAGGTGCCCTCCACCCAGACGCCCTCCAGCGCCCTCAGCATCCATCTCAGCCCAGCTCCACGCCACCTCCTGCCTCTGCCCCAACCTGGCCGCCTGCTCACAGTTTCCCCAGATCTTTTCCTGTTTCCCGCCTAGGTGCAGCCTGCAGACACTGGGCTCCGTCCTTGGCCCCCACTCCATGCGGGCCCCTGACTCTCCCTGTCCCAGCCCCGAATGCAGCTTCGTCCTCCCTCTGGACTCCCTCCTCAGCCTTCAGCCCCCCACACCCAGCCCGAGACTCTTTCTGTCCCCGGGGTTGCTCTCGACCCCCAAGGGTTGCTATAAGGAAGTTGTGGTCGGTCTCGATCTCCGTTCCTCTGGCTGATGTGACACTGGGGACCCGCAGCCTGCTGCACACCCTGCCTCTTCCCCGCCAGGTAGAAACATTCCCTTTCCTGGGCCGTGTGGCCGGCCTTCGCTCCAACATCCGGGACTCGTCGTTCCAGTCCAAGCAGACGGGCCGGCGGGACACCAAGGTGGTCAGCATGGTGGGCCGTGTGCAGATGGACATGCTGCAGGTACAGCCGGGCCAGGCGGGAGGAGGGGTGTGTCCCTGTCCTCGGGAAGCCACTGCCCAGGCCTGCAACCGAGCAGCCCATCCACCCACCTAGGTGCTGCTGCGGGAGTACAAGCTCCGCTCCTACACGCTCAATGCCGTGAGCTTCCACTTCCTGGGCGAGCAGAAGGAGGACGTGCAGCACAGCATCATCACCGACCTGCAGGTGCCTGCTGCCTCCCTGACCTCTCCCCCCGACCTCTGACCTCCGACCCCCACCTCACCCTTCCCCAGCCCCTGACCTCAACTTCACACCCCCACGTCTGACTTCACTTTTTGACCTGCTGTTATGACCTGTGACCTTACCTGCCACCCACCTTTTTCTGATCTCAGACCCCAGATTTCTCTCCACTCCTGTGACCTCTGTTACTATGACCTTGGCTCTGCTTTCCTGGCCTGACCACAGGTCCACAGTGGCCTTCAGGCTGCTCCCTCCTCCTCCCTCTGACCCTGTGGACTCCCTGGCCCCCAACACTACCTCCATCCCCACCCAGACCCTGATAGCTTGGAGGCTGCCCCTGCCCGCCTCACCTCCCAGGCCCTCTCCAGGCTACCTCACCCTGACCCCCGACTTCATCCTCCTGGCTCCACCTCCCACCTCCAACTCCTGGTCCCTGACCCCATCTGTGCCCATCCCCAGAATGGGAACGACCAGACCCGCCGCCGCCTGGCCGTGTACTGCCTGAAGGACGCCTATCTACCGCTGCGGCTGCTGGAGCGGCTCATGGTGCTGGTGAACGCCGTGGAGATGGCGAGGGTCACTGGCGTGCCCCTCAGCTACCTGCTCAGCCGTGGTCAGCAGGTCAAGGTCGTATCCCAGCTATTGCGGCAGGTCAGTAGCCGAGACCTGTCCTCACCACTCCCCACCAGGCACGTCTCTGGTCCCCTCCCGGCGATGGCATCCTGGATGCACTTTTTCTCCCCGCTCCCAATCCTCACGGCCCCACCTATACCCACTCCGTTTTCCACCTTCTCCCCTCCCAGGCCATGCACGAGGGGCTGCTGATGCCCGTGGTGAGGTCGGAGGGCGGTGAGGACTACACGGGAGCCACTGTCATCGAGCCCCTCAAAGGGTGAGGCCCCAGGCTGGGTGCAGTTTGTACCTGTAATCTCTAGGAGGCTGAGGTGGGAGGATCACTTGAGCTCAGGAGTTTGAGAACAGCCAGGGTAACGTAGTGAGACCCCTGCTCCACAAAAAATTTTTTTAAATGAGCCAGGCCCACGGTGGCTCACGCCTGTAATTCCCACACTTTGGGAGGCCGAGGCGGGCGGATCACGAGGTCAGGAGATCAAGACCATCCTAACACTGTGAAACCCTGTCTCTACTAAAAATAAAAAAAATTAGCCGGGCGTGGTGGCAGGCGCCTGTAATACCAGCTACTCTGGAGGCTGAGGCAGGAGAATGGTGTGAACCTGGGAGGTGGAGTTTGCAGTGAGCCGAAATCGTGCCACTGCACTCCAGCCTGGGCGACAGAGCCTTATATTGGGGCGAGCCTGAGGGAGGATGATCGAAGCCTAGGGAGATAGTGGAGGCTTGCAGTGAGCGGTTGATTGCGCCACTGCCCTTCAGCCTGGAACGACCAGAGCAAGACCCTGGCCCCTAAAATTAATAGGTCCGGGCATTGGTGGTTCACACCTGTAATTCCCAGCCTTTTGGGAGGCTGAGTTGGTGGATCACAACAAGGTCCGGAATGAGATCATCCTGGCTCAACACGGTGAAATCACCATTTCTACTAAAAATATCGATAAAATTCTTTTAGCTTGGGCGTTGGTATTAAGCATACACGCTGATAGTTGCCCAGCTACTAGGAGTGCTAAGGCAGGAGAATCGCCTTGAACCTGGTGAGAATGGAGTTGCAGTGAGCCCAAGATTGCTCTGCTGCATGCTCCAGCCTGGGTGATTACAGAGTGAGTACTACCGTCTCAAAAAAATAAAATAATGCCCTGGCGCGCGTGTAGGTGCTCAAGCCTGTAATCCCAGCACTTTGGGAGGCCGAGATGGGACAGATCACGAGGTAAGTGAGATCGAGCCATCTATCCTGGCTAAACACGGTTTGAAACCTCCCGTCTCTACTTGAAAAAAAATACAAAAAACTAGCCGAGCGATGGTGGCGGCGCCTGTAGACTCCAACTTACTCTGGAGGACTGAGGCAGGAGACAATGGTGAACCGCTGGTGGAGAGCTTGCAGTGAACTGAGAATCCGGCCACTGTAACTCTCAACCTGGGGACAGAGTGAGACTGACCGTCTCAAAAAAAAAAAAAAAAACAAAAAACCAAAATAAATAAATAAATATATATAAAATAAAAAGAGTAGATTAATTCC